GAATGTTCGAAGCATATTGACACGTTAAAGTGAGAACATGTGATGTAATGGGTCCAAAGTGCGCCATAACTCATTATTGTTCTAATCATAAGATATACATTGTCATTAACTAAAGACTTTCATATAGACGTATATCAAAATTTTACATGCACAACGTGAATCTTGTCAACCTTAGCTGTAACCAAACAAAATGATCAATCAAATAATAGAGAAATAGATCCTTCAGAATAATACATGTCAAATTTTGTTCACATATTGGACTAATGTCCTAATTCAAAATATAACGTACAAGCTAAAGATAAATAAATATGTGTAAGCTGAAAATGAATAAATGTGGTACAACAATTATCTTTCTTAATTTGTTAGGTGAAGTGCCCAATATTTTGAAAAATTGAGCTAAGCGACCAGTTCAAGATCGAGAATCAACATGAAAATCAGTCCAACTATATATTAGAAACAGGATAATTAAAATGAAGAGAATCGTGGTTAAATATAAAAGATGTTTATGCTTTCTTCTCTTTCTCAACGAACCACAACTTTATAATAAGGTGACGATAGAAGTCGAGTGATATACCTAATTAGTTAATTAAATTATGCAACTAATTATATCTTTTCGAAAAAGTAAATTATACTGCATAAGTTAAAGACATACAAATACTGATCTACAATAGAAATAATAGAATCTTATTGTTTGTGGGTTCAACATAGTATGCTTGTAAACATAGATAAAATTGCTATTAGCAGCATCATCACAACTTGACTTTGTGGATTCAACTTCACTCCTACACTGTGGTTAAGTCCAAATCCCATGATGCTCGACCTAGGCGCCACTGTCACCATTGGAGAAGCTGAAAAAGAAAACCGATATAAATTAACCCGACTACATCTTAGATTAAATCACAAATATTTGATACATAGTTCATTTTATTTTTTAATATTGTCCAGTGCTGAACAGTTCTTACCAAACGATTTGTACGTGTTTCTTTGAGCATAAATTGCCGCATAATAGAATGATGAGAAGAGAAGATGCAAACCTGCAACAGTTGAATTTGTTTTTGGCCCTGAGATAGGTGGAGTTGAAGGCAAGGGTGTGCCTTAAAAGATAAAAAGTCACTGGTTAGTGAAACATTATCTACCCAATTTTCGATAATAGAACATTAAATTAACCTCATTTACATCAGTAGTCTTGTTCAATATTGTCCAGTCGAGCCTATAACAAACACATCATGAAAAAGGGATTCTAATGGACGTACCTGTGCAAGTAGAAATGCTTATTTGAAGGTTGCATATAAGGGGTAACTGGAGAGCAAGTGTGGTATTAATAGGAAAAGAACTCAAAGTTGTCTCATTGAGAAACAGACAAAGGCAACTAGGTTGCTGAATATAGAGTTGTCTAAGGTTGTCACAACACGACTGGGCCGGCAAAGGCGCAGCACCTTGCACAAAAGGCGCGCACGGGGCCAAAGGTAGGAGATTCGAGCTACATTGTTCAATTCCGGCGTTTTGGGAAAAGGTGTTCGATGAAAGGCTGAGGAGAAGCAAAAGAATTAGTACAATGTTAGAGAGAGAAGGCATATTTTCCCCCTATCCTCTTGCTTTTTTGTCTAGGGAGAGAAGTATTTGCCTGATGAAAGCTAGGTTGAAAATGTGAATTTGGTTTTGAAGTGATTTGCATTACATTGAGCATGAACTGCAACATGCATTGAACATGAATTAAGTCCCTTTTTCAGTTTTGACTGATTAATCTCAATAAGAACAA